GTGGAATGTTGTGAAGGAAGGCTTCACGCTGCAACATTTTTTCACAGGTTCCATTTGTGAGCCTCTAAATGCCAGGTGAATGTTTTTGCAACCTAATCCTTAGTTAATGAAACTTGGGGGCGGGGACATTTGACCACATTAAATGGTTCATTAAAAATAATGAGGTTCTGGGGAGGGAAAAATATAGGGGATGGTGGGGGGAAACTTGTCTAGTTACCTCTGCTAGCTAGATCAAGGGAAACAGCTATCATCTTTAAAATCATTATTTTCCAGTATGGGATCCTGCTACATCAGCAGTGCAATCTAGAGTCTCCATAGAAACATTAGAGAAGATGAGAACATCTGCTGGGGAAAGCCGCTTGGAAAATAACTAAGCACAGCATAATAACAACATCTGTTCTGTGCTACTAGTCATATGCATTAAAAAGGCACACAGATTAGTGAAATAAGGGATAGTGCACTGTTTTTTGTGGTTGTATTCAACCCCATTCTATATTATTTATAGGGAGGGGATGCAGAGGTTGGCTCAGCTGTTTTCAACAGTATGAAGGAGCTGAGCCAACCTCTGTCTCTGCTGGAGGGGCCTCTCAGGAAATCCACTTGCCTCTTCTATTTGTTCTACCAAAAGTGGGTGGAGGATTAGGGAGGGAGGGAGCAGGCATAGAGAGGCATATGTGGGCTATGGGATGGCTGTATTCCTCTTGCCTGTGCCTCCTGCCTTTATTTATTTTCCTCCAGCTTTCTGAGAGAGGGTTTGCGACTGTTTGAGGAAAAGAGAGCTTGGAAGTGGGTGGTGGGTGGGCCCCCGGGTCTAAATGTGGTCTAGAAAACATCCAGCTACAGACACCTATTTTATGAGAACCCATTGCCCAATCTAAAGCACTTATTTTATAACTTAGTGGCCTTTTAAGACCGGGCCATAAGGGATTGAATAGGATTCAGCCTACCCTTGAAAGGAGCCGTAAAACCACCAGCTGAACATTGGTATGTTTGAACAAACTGCCAAGGGGCTCTTTACCGAAGACTGAACTAATGATGTACCAGAGAGCATTCTGGGTTGAAGAGCCAAAACTTCAAAAGCAAAATGTTTTTATAAAAATTATTTCCCCACCAGCTCAAAGTCTTCACAAATATCAGACCTAACAACAAATATTAGTGTCCCTGCCATCTATTTGTCTTGGAAAGAAGCATTATACACAGCATGGAGGATGTTTGCTTTATTTAGTTTCCTTCATATGTTGGGTTTTTTTTTTTTTAAAGTTATACCAGTGTGATTCAAACGCAAGATGCTGCTTATTATTTGAGGTATTTACTTATACACTGGTACCTCAGGTTACATACGCTTCAGGTTACAGACTCCGCTAACCCATAAATAGTGCTTCAGGTTAAGAACTTTGCTTCAGGATGAGTACAGAAATCGTGCTCTGGTGGCGCGGTGGCAGCGGGAGGCCCCATTAGCTAAAGTGGTGCTTCAGGTTAAGAACAGTTTCAGGTTAAGAACGGACCTCCGGAATGAATTAAGTTCTTAACCCTAGGTACCACTGTACATTAATTTTAACTTGCATCCTAGGCTTTCGAAGAGAAAATTGTAGGAAAATATAGAGTAACCTCCCACCTCCCAGTATACTGCTAAGCTCTGGACATTGAAATACTAGGTTGTGTACACCATACATTTGAAGCACATTGTTTCTCTCAAGGAATCCAGGAAACAGCAGTTTAGTAAAGGTGCTGGGAACTGTAGTTTTGTGGAGGATCAACTACAGTTCCCATGGTTCTTTGGAGGAAGCTGTGTGTTTCAAATGTGCTTTAAATGTATGCTGCGTGAGAATGCAGCCCTAGCCAAATAAAGAAATTTGCAATTACTGGAACTGTGGACCTCCTTGCCTATTCACACCAGGTGTATGGGTAAGTGTTGGACTTTCCCTCCCCCTATTAAAATGGGCACCTGAGCCCTTGGTACCAGAAGGCCTTGGTAGAATCAAATATAGTTTGAGAAAATAGCACTAAATCTATTAGTGCCTTGAATCCTTAAGTACCTTTGCAAACATTAATCAGTCCACTCAGAACACAGTCAACTTTCTCTTGTCAGCAACACTTTATCTGCTTTAATGTCCTCTCTGCATGTTTCCATAGAAACTGAGAAAGAACTAAAATATTCACAAAAATTCAATAGAAGCAAATGTCAGCATACAAGATTAGTTCATGTTGTGCTGACAAGCGTATGTTCAGAAAACAAAGTTTTTGATCAAAGCATTTCCCGCATGGGAATCATTATTCTTATATGTTCACTTTTTTATGAATAACTCCTCTGTAATAACTATGTAATCAGAGAAGTAAATAGATTTCTTTATCTAGATTATTTATTGACATCAACAAGTCTCTCTGTGAAACATGAGGACAATATTACCATTGTCAGTTGGAAGTCTTTATACTGCATTCTGTGAAGTAGCTGTAAGTAAGTTGTACCTAGGAATGGGTGAATCTGTCAACTTCCATTTCTCTCTGTTTCTCATTTCATTCCATCTTAAATTCAGTCCTCCAGATTTACACATCTGTTTTTGAATTATTCCTTTAAAAAATCCTCATGAAAATTCACCAGCATTTTATCACGAATTTCTCCTAATATACACATTTTTGCATGCGATTTCCTAATATGTGCATTTCTGCAAAATGTCTTTTCCCTAATATTTATATTGTCCCTAGTATAATGCATGTTTGTATGTTCTTTTCACCAATATATGCATTTAACCCTAGTATAAGCATTTTTGTTGATGTTCCTTGGCTGGAAACTGCACTACAAAATTCAGAGAAGTGTGACATAAAAGATGGCTGCGTTTCAGTTTGCATATTGTTTTGAAAAGTGCATATTAGATAAATTCATCTTTAAATGTCAACTAAATCAATTTCCCCGCATTCATGACCCCATTAAGTCATCCTATTCACACAAGGACTTCTGCTTATGCAACAGAATTTCCTCTCCTTTCCTTATGTGCTCCCCACCCACCCCCCAAATCTGCTCCGGAGGGTTGGGGTTCCTAGAATGGGAAAAGGAGAGGGAGAGGAAGTTCAGTTGCACAAACAGAAGTCCTTGTGTGAACGGAATGACTTTGTTGGATACAATCCACAGACAGAAGAATGGTGAAGTCACAGGACAGGCCTGATAAAGAAGTAGCAATAGCTCAAGTCCTATTTATATGCTTCAATAAAGACATTTACTTTAAAGGTGCTCAGCTCAAAATCCCATAGACTTATTTGCCTGTAGGAAAGAAAAGGGAAAACCTTAGAGGCACATTGAAAACTGAGGACTCCCACTTTCACTCTGCCTTCATGCGGTCATGTTTCCATGGCACAATGAGTGCAATGCACATGCACAGCCCTTGGTCTGTTAATTTTCTGGATCCTCTCCCCCTTTTAATTTTCATTAAAAGCAACTTTTGGGCACCCCTGGACTGCCCTACAAGTATGAGGAAGCCCTCCTTGTCTGTGAAGTGCCTGATTATACTTCCCTACCAATCAGTAGGCTTGGCACAGGGCTATCCACTTTACTCATAAGGAAATCATATTTCTCTTTCCTTTGTTCATCGACTATCTTCTCACTCATGATCCCCTTCTTTTTTAAAACAACAACTCTTAAATTCAACTGATTTGTCTCCCATAACCCTGAATTTCTTTTAACGCAGAGAAGTATTGAATTGAAGGGTCAAAAAGCTTACACTTTTACTGAGAAGTGTGATATGTTGCTACAACAACTAAAAATACATCCAGTTGTCATGGTAACTGGTATTTGAAGAGTCTAGAGAGTTCTGCTTGTTATGATCCTTTTGAAAAACTGGTCAAAACACATTTTTTCCCTAAACTACTTAGCTATAATGGTCACATTCTTTCCTTTATTTACCTAGTGTTGGTCTTCTGGTTACTGATATAAAATGGAGACAGGAAGACCAGGCATGTCAAATGGCCCATTAATGCATCCCTTAAACACCTTGAAAGCTAACACCAGTGATTTTTTAAAAAGTTAGTGATCAAGTGCAGTCATTTTTTTTTCTTGTTTGTTTTATCACAGTGCAATCCAGATACCTAATATTTAAAACATTAAGAAACTATTGACAAGTGGTGAACATCCCCATTTTGAGCAAGATGCTTGAGAAGGTGATGGTGATCCAGCTTCAGGTGTGCATGAAGGGAACTGGCTTCTTGGATCCATTCCACTCTGGCTTCAGGACTGACCATGGCACTGAAATGGAAATCTTTCTAGGAGACCAATTCTGCAGCTCTAACTCCACTTACCTTGAGTAAACCCTGTTGAATTCAATAGAACCTACTTTTTCTGAGTAGACATGGTTGGGATCGTGAGGTTATGCCATAATCCTATTCCATTTTACATGGGAAATTACTCAGTGGGGCTTACTTATGAGTAGACATGCATAGGATTGCCCTTTCAATCATTTATTTACATTCAAGTTTCTTTCTATATCCTTTACCATGCGGATAAGTAAGGATTTATATTCTGCTGGCTGGATCATCCTCTTGGGAGTTGCAGTTCAGCATTTAAGAAATGCTTACAGCTTTCATACTTCCCTGCAGAGTTTGAACACAACCAGAGGATTGTAGGGAGATGTGGGAGCACTGATAATTGTTTTCCTTCAGACAGAAGAAATACAAATATTTGTTAGATCACGTCTTGTTTTACTAGTCTTAAAACTGAGGTGCATCCTTTAAACATTGATGACTAGTCAATACAGTAACTAGCCTATATTGGTAAAAAAAGCAAGAAAGCATGGAAGATTTCCGTTTTCTCCTAATGTATATACCTTAAATGACACACCAGCTGCCTTTGAAATATATTTTAAAGAATTTTGTAGGTTTCTAAAGATGCACCTTTTTAAACTTTTATGTACTTCAGTCCCCAAGTGCTTTCCAGCAGGTTGGACATTTTAAAATATAGTTACAGGTAGGTAGCTGTGTTGGTCTGCCGTAGCCGAAACAAAATAAAAAAAATCCTTCCAGTAGCATCTTAGAGACCAACTAAGTTTGTTATTGGTATGAGCTTTTGTGTGCATGCACACTTCTTCAGATAAAAACTTAGTTGGTCTCTAAGGTGCTACTGGAAGGAATTTTTTTATAAAAAATATGCATTTTATAATTGGATCAGTATGAAACTACATTCAAGATAAGCTTCTTTGTCATCATGTGGTTTGGAGGTCTGTCCATCCATCTATACTGTCTCATGCCTTTCATTCTAAGCTGAATCCTAAACCAGCAGAGACCATTTCTGCTGCAGAGGACACATAAGCCCTTGTACACATTGCACATGTGAAGGGGGCTATGCGCAATGAGCCTCCCCCCAGCATCACACATGACCTTGACATCTATAGCAGCTTAAAAGCTGTACCAGATGGTGGAGAGAGTGGTGTTTACTTGACCTTCTGGCAGGTGGGTCACTGAGAAAGAAAACTGGAAGGGCAAGGAGGTGAAGAGATCAGCACAGTGCAAATGCACTGGTGGAGCCAATAGGATACTCCTTCTGCATTTGCCCAGTGCTGACCTCTTTGCCACCTTGCCCCTCCTACTCTCTCCCGGGAAGCAGCAGTGACTCAGCTACTGGGAGGCCAGGTTAGTGCTGCCGTCCTACCCCACTGTCTACTACTGAATAAATGGCAACCACATTAAATAGCCTGGGAGAATAGAAGTGTTTTTGCTTCATATGAAAAGGATTGTAATGTTGGTGTTAGGTGAGCCTGCCTGGGGAAGGAGTTCCATGAACAGGGTGCCACGATCAAAAGGTTCTCTCTCTGGTTGCTACCTCTCCTTAGATGGCAGGGAGTTCATGACCTCAAAACATGAACCGGTTGGTGTGCTTCATTCATGTTTTTGCTCCTATTGGCATTCATGCGCAAATTGCTGTATCACTTTTAAAGATTCATTAACTTTGTTGCAACATGGTAAATATGGCCGATAAATCAGTACCATAAAACATATTCTTTTCAGCATGACATGACTCATTGTCTTTGCTATTCCCATCGCAATTGGTGGCTGTGACACTGTACTGCAGAGAATGTACTTAATTACATTGAAGGGTTTATATTTCCTCCTCCACGTTCTGAATGATGAATGTAAAATAAAATGTTACATGCTATCGGAAGGGAAATACTTGGCAGCTTTATCTATTGTGGGGACCACCAGAGATGTCATAGCAATAGAGCTTTAGCTAGATCAAATGAATAACTTATTTTACTATTTTTTCTTTATGCAACATTTATTTAAACAATTTGAACAATTCTTTAAATTGAAAGAATACACAGATGTCCATATTCACTGATTTTACTTCTACATGAATAAGTAATGGAGACCTGGCACATTAAGTCATGCTGTTACCCCAAGGAAGCTCACAGAGAGGTGTCTTGAGATGTGAACTCCCTTGGGCAGAAGCCGAAGCAAGAGAAACGAGTGGAGTGGTTTCAGGAAGACAAAGGCCTTTGGACGACTGAGGGTGGTAGTGGTGAACGAGTGAAAGTCACAAAAAGGGATGTGCTAAGAAGTAAGTGCAAAGAAACAAGGAGCAGCAAAGCCATAGAAAGCTTTAAATGCGACCAAAGGAAGCTTGTGCAGAATCTGGGAGTGTGAAGGAAGGACTGAAGGAAGTCCCATGGCCCAAATGACGCCGACTGCCAAGGCTGGCCTTTATTAGAGCTAAACATTCTGGGACTGTGCTACTGTTTCAGGGACAAGCGGCCTCCATGCACTGGGGTGGAGGAAGTGGGGTGCTGTGGGGGGCGGACTGCCTTGGGTGTTACCACTGAAGGGGGTGACAAAATGCCGGGTGGCACTCACTGCGGGGCCTGCAGTGCGCCCGATGGCTTGGGTACCCACAAGCTCTGTGCTGCCCCAAACGGTCCGCCCATCGCCTCCCCCTCAGCTGTAGGGTGGCTGAGTGGGAGGAGGCCCCAAGGAGTGTCCTGCCCTGACTTGCCCCACACCATGAGTGGCTGGCCCCGCCCCTGGGCACAGGGCACACACGCTGCCCCAGGCACCCGATTGGCTTGCTCCGCCACTATCCATACATTCCCTCCTGACACTGTTCCTGGTGTCTGCCAGAAGTTGGAGGGTGAACGTCTGGAGTGAGAAGGTTCTGTGTATATTTTCAGAACTCAGATTTTCCAGAGTTCTAAAGTGTGTGGGGATCTTCCACAAGTACGGGAGGCTCCCTCCCCGTTAGAAGTTTACTCTCCAGCTTGTGGAAGGCAATGTAAATGATGACTTGGAGGAGGAGATGCCTCCCCTTGCTTTTTCACTTAGCTATGATACAAAATGGCCAAAGAGGAGACGATGTCTTAAGATGATTTGGAAGCTATTTGACATATGTCCTGGGCCTTTTCGTAAGCATTCTCGTACTCAGCATGCCCAAAACATCTGAACTCCACAGAAAAGACAGGAAGACATGCAGTACTCCTACTGGGCAACCTTAGCCAACTTCACAAAAGTTTCACATTTCAATCCTTTTCTAAATGACCAAGTGTAAAAAAGAAAAAAAGGGGGGGATTTGCTATTTCAAAAGTCTTCAGGTTTTGAAATATGACAAAAGAGGATTCAAAAGACAAAACAAAAGGAAGGAATTCTACATAAAGCACCACAAAGGAGCAAAATGTTTTCATTTTGCTGTATTTTGGAAAGACTGGGAGTCTGATAACTCCTTCCTGTTTGATCTTTCAAAGGTTTTTATGATTTATGAATGGTCTGGGACCACCAGATTATTTTTTGTGTAATGACAGGCAGATAGTAATGTCTAACTTTTAGAGCACTGGATTTTACTATCAGCACAATTAATAACCACAATGGTTTACATTGTTTCTTTTTTAACATAAAACTGCAGAAGAGATCCAAAAATACTTTCCCAAGAACACGATCTTCCTTTATTATGTGAGCGATGTTCCTCCCTGGACTGGAAAACATTTCAGCCTTTTTTGGAAAAAGGAATGTGCATGGATATCATTCATATAGCAAGATTCTTCACTTCTCAGTTCCCCACAACCCACCTATAAAACCAGCCTTCCATGAAGAAGAATGAAGCAACTTGCATTAAGTAGCACCATCATGGAAGAATAGATCAACGCAGGAATTGGGGTCTGCATGCAGCAGCAAAACTTCTTAGCACTCTGGGGAGCAGAGGGGAGCAGTGGAGAGGAGGTGCCATTTTGGCGCTCCTTCAGGAAGCAAAATGTCAGGTAGGAAAGCGCAGGACCAATTCATTTGGTTTAAATGTTCAATTGAACTCACCTGGTCCTCATGGACAAACATAAAAATCAGAATGGAGTTTTCCTTCAAAATAAATGAACTCTTTTAGAATCAAAGAGTGGGCTTCCTTGCATTTTTGACTTCCTTTCCCCTTCACTGTACAGTTGTACCTTAGAAGTTGAAGGGAATCCATTCTGGAAGTCCGTTCGACTTCCAAAACTTTTAAAAACCAAAGCACCGCTTCTGATTGGCTGCAGGAAGCTCCTGCAGCCAATCGGAAGTCACCGAAGCCCCATTGGACGTTCAGCTTCCAAAAGAACATTCAAAACCTGGAACACTCACTTCTGAGTTTTGATTGACCAGGAGCCAAAAGGTTCGAGAACTAGGCTGTTCTAAAACCAAGGTACGTCTGTATAGCTTCAAATGTTTCTTTTGGGAACTTGAAATTCTGTGCAGTATTAATAAACTAGAGCAAATGCTACTTAGTATTTTTAGGTTTCTAAATTGAGCATAAGGATCAATTTGCAAATGAAATGAAGGGCCTTTTAATAAGTAAGTAATCCTCTAGTTCTTCTTTATCTACTGCATTTTAGATTTAATTAGTTCAGTTTCTTCCGTGATGAGGAAATCCCATACATTACACTCATGTATATTTAACAGGGTATATGAATGTGGTTGGGTAGACAAGGACCTTGGTGCCCTTGACCCTCAGTACGTCCTTTGAGATATATAGAAAAACATAAGCATGTCAGATATGACTGCTTTAAATTAATAATTCTGATAAATGTGAAAGCATAAACAACCAAACATTGGGTGGCGGGCAGTGATGGTTAACTCTTAGATTAAACTTTAACATAGATAGAAAATGACTTTTTTCTTTTTTCAAAATATGCTTGAATGAAAAGCAATGGTCTTTGTCAGCTACCACACAATTCTGCTTCATAGTGGTGACAGGCTCCTAGTTAAGTCAACAAATCTATTCTGTATATATGAGCAAATTGTTCACATTCCTTTATGCACAACAGTATTTATCTAAAATTAGGATAATGTGAGCCTGGGGCAAAATGTCAACAAGAGAATGGTCTCTCAGTTGAGCTCTCTCCCTCCACCCCTTTGAGACATTTGTATTTGTTCTGGCATGTTCAATAAATTAAGTGAGTAGTGATGTTTAGAATAGGCATGTTAGAGCAAAGGATCTCTGATTCATTACAAACAATAATTTAATGCACTCATTCCCTTTTATACGTTTTGTGTTCAACATTGAATCTCTGTGTTTTATAAGTGAAATATTATGATTTGGCAGCTAGATATTCTTTATAATGTGTTGGTTCTCTTGGTCTAACATGTTGTTGACTTTCTACTCTTCAGCTACTATTATATAACTGCAGTCATGATGCCACCAGGTTGTATTGTGTATGATACAGCGAGACATAGACTGTGTTGAATTAGGGTCATAGGGGTAGAGGTCTGGCAACATCAGGGCCAAGGCATCATCCTCATGGCAGGATGCAGGTCCAGGGTCAGGAACATAGTCAGATGGGTCCAGTCAGAGTGAAGATAGGATTATAGGCATCAGGACCTTCTTGTTCATGCAGGTCTTTTATATAACTTGTTATTTTGGCCTCATGGCCTGATGTGCTTAGTTTTACTATCTGTGATTTTAGCTTTTGCATTATTTTGATTGTTTTATATTGTAGCTTAATTGTTGCATTATGTTTTGTGAGCCATCCAAAGAACATGTATTATGTGGCGGCTATACCAAGTTAGTTGATTTATAAGTAGATAAATGGTCAAGGACAAGTTAGATTTGTTGCCAGTTCTGCAGGCAGGAGCTACAGTGAGCAAGTGACTAGTGTCAGGAATGGAGATATCCATTTAA